GTCACCACGTGCGACCCCGGCACGCTGCGGCCGGCCGACCTGCCCTTCAGCACCGAGGCCCTGGTGGACCGCAAGGAGTTCTGGGCCGTGTGCCGCGCGCCCGGGCCGCTGCACAGCGGCGACATCCTGGGCCTGGTGGTCAACGCCGACGGCGAGCTGCACCTCAGCCACAACGGCGCCGCCATGGGCATGCAGCTGTGCGTGGACGCCTCGCAGCCGCTCTGGATGCTCTTCGGCCTGCACGGCGCCATCACGCAAATCCGCCTCCTCGGTGAGTGCCCCTGGCCACGCGCCAGCCTCCCGGACAGCCTCCGGAGGCCGCCCTCCCCTGCCCTCCCCGTCCAGCATCGAGCCTTTCCTGGAAGAGGGGGGCGATCTGGGTAGGGGAAAAGAGGGGCCACCCCGTCATGAGGAGTTGCCAAGGAGCCACAGACACTGAAATGAGTTTTGGGTGGGACTCCGTGGCCCTCAGGTCTCACCAGACGCACCCTGGGCAGGGGAGAAAAGCCTGGATTGTTGAGTTTCATTCTCAGAATCTGATTAACCCACATTCCCTCAGAAAACGAAAAACAGTCCAGGTACACACACTCCAGTGGACGCTTAAAACGAGCAAATATTGTTTCCACCAGCAATGAACTCTTTGGAGCCCAGTTTCCTTTTTCCCCAAATGAGAATAAAGGCCTCTGCCTCTCAGTATGGTTGTGCGCCCAAATAAGAAAAAGAGGTTGGTATGTCCGTAGCCAGGTGTCTGTGTGGGGTTGGGGGCCTCTGGGGAATCCCTGGGCAGAGGGCCTTGGAGAAAACGGGGTTGCAGAAGTCTGAGCTTTACTTTCCTGGGTTTGAACAGACAGACTTGGATGCGGGCTTGGGTAAGCCATGTTTCCCGTGGGTTAGATGTTCTGTGGGTTACGTGCCTGTTGAAAAAGGGTTCTTGGGTCAAAAAAAGTTTGGGAAATACTGCATTTTTTAAAAGTGGGGGGGGTTCTTTATTTTTTAATCCTCAGCTGAGGATATATTTGTATTCATTTTTAAAGAGAGAGAACGGGAGAGAAGCATCAGTGTGAGAGAAACATCGATCAGTTGCCTCCTGTACAATCCCCGACCGGATATCAAACCTGAAACCTAGGTATGTGCCCTGACCAGGAATCGAACCTGCCACCTTTTGGTGTATGGGACAATGCTCCAACCAACTGAGCCACCTGGACAGGGCTTAAAAAGCTGGGGGGTTCTTTACTGCAGAACTTCTCAGAGCCTTTGATATGCAGTGTGAATCTTTAAGGAGGTAGTTACGGTGTACAGCTTTTCTAAACCAATTTGCCCAGAAATCTTTTTTTGCACAAAGCATCTCCTGGTCTGCTAACCACCTGCAGTAGACCGGCCTAGTTTCATTAGACTCACTGGGAGAACACACTAAAGTGCAGATTCAGAGATTTTGATACTGTACATCTTGGATAGGTCCTGGGCATCCAAATTTTTGTAGCAAGTTTGTTTAGACAAGTTTAGAGACCCCTGGGCCTTCCAGCCCCCAGCCTACACCTCACCCCAGGAGGCTTCATAGACACGATTATGTGTGTATGTGAGTGAGCATGAGTTACACTGTAGGATTGGCACACTGTGCATAGGCACATGTGGGTAACTAAATGCATGCATATATTTGTGAGTGGAATGCTGTTGATGATTGTGGGAGTGCATGAGAAATCAGATAAAGTCAGTGGGAACTTCCTGCTCTGTTCCAGAGACCACATGAAGATGGAGTTGAAATAAATTTTAAAAAGAATGAAAAGAAATGAGGCTGGGATGCTAAGAAGTTAGGATTGAGGGAAGATAAATCAGGATGGAATAAAAAGTCAAGCTAGATGAAAAGACATCAGGAAGGAGAGAAGTTGGAGGTGTAAATTCAGGATGGAAAAAAAAGAAATCGGACTCAGGTGCAGAAAAAAATCAGGGTGAGGTAAAAAAATATTTGGCTGCACTCACCAGGAGACACTGCTCCTCAGAGGAAGTAAATTGCGTAAGGGCAGCACCATCTCATAATAGATAAGCAGCTTTCCAGTGAGGCTTCTGTTGCACAAAGAGGCTTACTAGACTGGAGCAAAGAAGATGCTTAAAAATAATGTCAGGACTTAAATGTTTCAAGAGGTAAGTAGGCCAAGATGGGTGTTGAAGAATAATCATTCAGAATTCAATATAGGCTAGATAGAGTGCCCCTGAGCTGTTTGGAGAATTGGGTGTCTCCACCAGCAAATAGGCATTGGGGGATCCTGACTCCCAGAGAAAAATAAATCAGTAACAATGTATGAAGGGTAACTGTTGACCGTCTAGAGGAATGCTTTGCTTTGCTGAAGGCCCGAGTGAACTAAGAACGGGAAGCTATTTCCTTCGCTCCAAAACTATAGTGAATTTCATACTTAACGGTGAAACACTAGAAGTATTCTCATTAAAGTCAGGAGTATGATAGGGATGCCTTTCAGTATTGTTCTGAAAATGCCAGCCAGTGCAATAGGCAAGAAAAGCAAAGAGGTATGAATTTCTGAAGGAGATCATAATTAACTTGAAAACTATTAACACTAATAAGAGAAACCCTGTGGATATCTAATGAATATTCCTAGAAACAGTGATTATTAAATGGGTTCAAACAAGTAACTACTAATAAAAAGGATCTCATTGAGTACTTACTTGTATGTGGGGCATTGTTAGGTGAATATTTCCTGCTCTCCGGAAGCTTATGGTTTACCTGGGGAAACAAAGCTGCATTCCTGGGCAAAGGACAAATAATACCCCACAATCTGTGGTTGACTAGTCCTCTGCATGTGGTGTGTGTGTGATGCCTGGTAGGCCCTCAGAAACGACTTGGAGGGAGGAGGGAGGACGGTGAGGAGTAGAAGAGGGAGAGGTGTGAGGGAAGGAAGGAGGGAAAGAATGTAGGACAGACAGGTGTGGGAGATGGTCAAGGGCATTTCAGAGGTGCCAGTGCAGAGAAGGTGGGCAATATCTGGGGACAGTGATGGAGAGCACAGGGCTCTGAACAGGCAGGTGAACATAGGGCTGGAAGGGCCATTCTGGGTGGGAGGAAGGTGACTTTGTTCTCTGGCTGGGGACACCTTGAAGGTGAAGGATACATGGGGAAGGGTGGAGGTGGGCTTCTAGGCAGGGGGCTTGTTTGGAGACTGCTGATGTAGTAGAACCGGAGCACATGTGGGTGTCCAGTTTGTAGGTGTGAACAGAGAGCTGGGGCAGGATGCTGAGCCAGCCTGTGGAAGCCTGCCCTGAGCCCGGTGGCTGGGCTGTGTGGTCAGACTGTGGCACCCTCTTTATCTCCTGGGAACCTACTGGAGGGACGGGGACGTGAGCTTTCTCCCAGTGGCCTTTGAGTTGCTGGTTCATCTCTCCCTCCCTTCTGCAGGCTCCACCATCCTCGCAGAGCGGGGCATCCCATCGCTTCCCTGCTCTCCCGCCTCCACACCAACCTCGCCCAGTGCCCTGGGCAGCCGCCTCTCTGACCCCTTGCTCAGCACCTGCAGCTCGGGACCTCTGGGGAGCTCTGCTGGCGGTAAGTGGGCCGGCCCCTCCAGGTCAATGGTGTCTGTGCCAGACCTCCTACCCTGAGACCCTGGCTGCGGAAGGCATGCAGCTTCTGTATGAGGGCTGGGGTCCTGGAGGAGTGGGAATGGGCCCAATGAACCCTTGTTGGGTGGTGATTTCTGGGCTGGATCCCATCCTGGCCCCCAGCTGGGTACCTTTCTCCAAAGGACTTTTTTAGCACACAGGGAACGCCAAAGGATAGCTCAGGTGGAGCCTGCCTTAAATGATGTTGGCTTTCCTTCCCCCATCCCTCCTCCTCCTCCATTGGTGCTTCATGGACACCCTGGCCCCTGGTCTGGGAGCTGGGGGGCCAGCAGTGGAGCTGCCCAGAGGCCATCCTCTCCCCTCTTGTGTCCAGGAAGTTGGGTCATTAGCGTAAACAGGCTGATCTGATAAATGGAGGGGGTGACAAGAGGCCAGGGGGCTCTCTTCCCATGAACCTGGGACTGGATTGGACCAAGTCTCCCCTTGACTGGTTCCCCTCATCCCCAGGGACGGCCCCCAACTCGCCGGTGAGCCTGCCCGAGTCACCAGTGACCCCAGGCACGGGCCAGTGGAGCGATGAGTGCACCATTTGCTATGAGCATGCAGTGGACACAGTCATCTACACATGTGGCCATATGTGCCTCTGCTATGCCTGCGGTCTGCGCCTCAAGAAGGCTCTGCATGCCTGCTGCCCCATCTGCCGCCGCCCCATCAAGGACATCATCAAGACCTACCGAAGCTCCTAGCCCGATGCGGCGCCCCACCCCTCGTGCCCGCCTCCTCGGACTTTAGCTCGGCTCCAGCCAAGGGGCAAGCCAACAAGGCCCCTTCTCTTCTTCCTCATTTTGGAAACTATTTTCCCTTCTCCATAAAACATGGGAAACTGAGGCCCCTGAAGGTTTGGGGAGAAAAGGGGTATCATACAGGGCAGTGGGGGGCAGAAGCAAATCGCCCAGCAGAGGGGAGGGAAAGAGCCTACACTTTGTCTACCTTTCCCTTCTCTGCACCCAGCTCTTTCCTTCATGCTGAGGGACTGAATTAGGGTCTCAGCCTGTTCTAATCCTTCCCCATCTGGGACCAACTTCTAGGAAGTCCCTCTAGCCCATGTGACACCTTTGTGAGATTTAGGAAGTGTGTCTGTCCGGGCAGATAGAGCCCTGAGCCAGGGCGTGCGGCTTGGCTTGTGGAGTATGGACTGGACATCAGCCTCTGTTTACTCCCTCAGCCAGCTGCCCTTGAGCAGTGCACAGCCTGCTTCACAGCAGCCCTGGGCGGGTGGCCCGCGCTGCTGCCTTACTCTGACCTGTACCCACCTTCCTCCTCTCTTCCCTGCCCCTTGGGCCTGGCAGCCAGGGGAAAGAAGGCTAGTGGATACCTCTCACCCAGACAGGCTGCAGCCTCCATGCCATACCCCTCTCCCACCCACCCAGGATGGGTGGTGTACAGGCCGCAGGAGGTTCCAGGTTCTGAGTCCCTGGCCCTGTGCCCTGGCAGCGATGCAGAGGGCCCCTTCCTGGCCATAGCCTTTCTGCCCCATTCATCTCACCCCTTGGTCTAGCTGGAGAGCAGGGTCTGTCTGCTGTCAGGGTCTCTAAGAACAGGTCCGCATCTACTCTCTGAGACCTGTCCTGCTACATCTCAGTGCTGTCCTGGGCCTGGCTGTTGCTCAGAGATGCTGTAGCGTCGCCAGGCAAGGCCAGGGCCCTGGGTTGGGGACAGGGAGGTTTTGTGGAGTAAGACCAGCCTTTTTCTGTATTTTAATTTATTTATTTATTTGGTTTGTGGGTTTTTGGTGTTTTTTTGTGTGGGGGGGAGTGAGTTCCCACCCCTCAGGCCCCTAGAAATGTTGCCCTAGAAATGTGTGTGGGTTGAGAGGGGACAGCATTTCCCAGACTCCAGCCCAAAAGTCCATAGTTAGCTATGCTTACCATGAGTTAGGACTCCTTAAAGAGGCTGAATTGGGAGGCCTCCTGGCAAGCTGTGTCCATTTTACACAGGGCATATTGAGTCTCCTTAACTCCCTGGGACTGGCGGATCACCCAGAGCCACAAAGTGCCCTTCCTTGGGCTGGAGCAGGGTTATCATAGGTTGGCTTAAACATGTCAGGAGGCCCAGGAGCATAAAAAATTCTGGGAATGCTGAAGGAGGGGAGTCTGGCTTGGGCCAGGGAACAGGGCTGGGGAGCCTAGTGATTGTAGAGGCAGGGAGCCTGTTCTTAGGAAAGGCACTTCACCCCCAGGAAATATGAGGGGTAGGGACTGGCCCAGCACCTCTGGGTTCTCATTCCTGGTTCTGGGGTGAGGGAGTGCCCCCCACATGCCCTTAGGCTAGTTCTGTGCTCTGCCTGCCCTGTCCTGATAGCCATTGGCTGGGGCCAGCTCTTAAGAGTCTTGGCTTAGTCTCACCCCAGCCTCCCAGCCCTCTGCCCCCTCAGATGGCTTTTTACATCCATCAGAGATAGCTTCTCCCTGTGGCCAGGTCATAGCTCCTCTGTGCCTCAGCTTCCACCTCTGTAAAATGATTGGGGAGGGGGGAGACCTTGTGTGACTCTTAGTTCTTTGGTGAGGGGCTGCATTGGGGTGGGGTAGTGTCTGTCCCTGCTTTGTAGTGGGCCTTTGAGAAGTCATAGTTCTGCTAAGGGTCTCCCCAGTCTCTGATTCCCGGTCACCCCTTCTTTGGGGGTTGGTTGGGGGAGGTGTTGGCTCCATCCAATCGAGGGTTCCATTTCAGAGGCAAGGATAGGTCTTAAGTGCAAGGGCTGCCTGGCCTGAGGGTGGGGAAAGGAAGCCATCCGTCCTATTGTCTGTTAGTGTGGGGTAGTTGCTGCCTCTTTTGTGAACTTGGGTCGCTGTGATTGTGAATAAAGGTGATTTGTAACAGCCTGAGAGGGCTGTGCTGTGCAGTGTGGAGGGTTGGGGAGGGAGGGTCAATATGTGTGGGAGGTGTGCACATGCAGTATTTGTGGGCCAGGTGTCCTGGGTATGGGGGGAGTTAACAATCAGGGTAGACTCCCTGGAGTGGGGGGCTGGAACATGACCTGGGGCTTGGACAGTAGGGGCCAGAATGCCAGGTGAGTCTTGTAAGTTGAGAGGAAGTAGCCACTGCCCTTTGGTAGCCTCAGGTTCCTGGGTTGATGAGGAGCAGTGTTTGTTGGGGCAGGAGCCCCAAGAGTCCATGAAGCCTGCTCAACTTTCTCTTGGCTGAACTGAGCCCAAACCTGGCCTGCAACCCTTGTGGGGTGGCAGTGCCACCTAGGGGCTTATGGAAGGATCACAGGTCCTCAAGTCAGCAGAGACTGCCGAGTTCCTTAGGAAGAGGGCCTTCCCATCCCTTGCCCCTGTCCCTCACTGAGATCCCATTGGTGGGTGCTGAGGCTTATAACAAATGGGTGGCACAGCTGGCCAGAGACCCTTAGAGAAAATTTCTAGGTGAGTACATCTGGCTGGCTGCAGAGGCTGGTGGTGGCAGAGGGAGCCTAGACACAATGACACTCTGGCTGCCCAGCCTCTGCCTGGCCTTGAATAGCCACGGGCTGCTCCCACATCAGGATAGCCCAGCCCTGTTCACTAAAGTCCAGCAAAAGTAGGGAGGGCAGGGGCTCCAAGCTGAGGGACCAACTAGGCCTGCTGGGTGTGGGTCTTTGGCACCCAAGATCGGCATCTCTTTCAAGGCCCTGGCCACTGCCCAGAAAGCATCCCCAAGGCTGAGATGGTGAAGGGGGAGGAGCTTCAGCAGAGGGCCCAGATCCTGTAGCTCACTCTACATTGGGGATAATTCTGCCATTAAGCTGGATGGGTTTTCTGGCACCAGGGAGAATTAAGAGGTGATTCTGATCAGTTAAAAAGGCCAAAAACTTTATTTAATTTTCAGGGAAATACAAGAAGATGCATGTAAACATAAACAAAATACAAAACAAAACAACCCAAATCTTACAGTCTAGAAGCATGCCAAGTCAGAGTATTTCTGCAGACCAAAGAGTCCCATCAAAATGATAAAGGACACCTGGAAAGGTGCAGGCTGAGGGGCTGGGTCCCTTCCCCAAAGACACTGCATTTTTGTGATGAGAACAATAAAAAAACAAACCCACTATTAAAAATATTAGAAACATGGAGATAGTTTAGCACCACCATTGATCCTGGAAATTTTTTAGCACTCAAATTGACTGCATTGAATTCAATGTCCTTTTCTTCAGTTTCTCTGCTGAGGGGGAAAGAGGGAACAACCTCCTCCGGACACCCCAGAGCCTGCTAGGAGCTGGGAGGGGTTAAGTGGACACCATGAGGAATTCCCCGAAGTTCTGGAGCCCAGAGACATCCAGCAGTTCACATGCAACCATGCAGTCCACAAACCCACACTTCAGGGACCTGCCACTCACATGTGCATCACTCAGAGTCACTTTCCTGTGGACCTCTCAGTAACTAGCAGTGAAACCCTTTCCCACCGTGTGTCCTGCATTAAAGAAAACCTGTAGCAGAAAACAAGATGCAGATTTAAGAATGGTGGCTGTTTACCCTTCTTAAAGAGCAGTGTGCCTTGGTCATAGGCCACTAATAACGGAAGGGCATATCCATGGATGAGTGTGCCCTGTACCCCGTCTTCTAAGTCACACAGATAAGCTTAATGGTATCTGGACCCTGAGGTTCTAGTTCGGGGGTGGGTGGGCCTAACTGCATGACCCATTTGGCCTCTAGTCTCTGATTCAAACAATTTGAGAGCTTAGCTGTGGATTGGACAAAAGGAGGTGGGCAAAACTAGCTGGGAACCTGGGAGATGGATGAATATTTTGGAGCCAGGGCCTCCAAACTCAAATGCAATTTGTTGCTGGTGACTTCCTCTCTCCACTGAGTAAATCAATGACCATTCATTAAAAACCTGCTGGGGACCCAGCTTGTGGCACAGCAAGGAGCCGTTTCCTCTGGCCAGCTGCTTCTAAGGTCTCATCTTGGGATGTTTCCAACCTGATACGGCTGGACCCCTGGGTGTTGAATCACTAAATTCCCTTCTTACCCGCTCTCTTCTTCCTGAAACACTCAGAATCAACTTCTTCCTTCTTTTTAATAAAGACAAAACTCCAGACTCCAAACCCTCTCTCAGCCTTCTCACGCTTCTCTCTTTCTGCCTAGAAGATGTCCTCTTCTGGAAGCTGACTTCCCAGGGGACAGAAGGTCCCAGACACCCCAAACATGCCACACATGCACATACTCATCTTGCCGACATGCCTCTTGCTCATCTCCAACGTGCTCAATCCATCCTTTTGCTTTAAAACAATCCTTCCACTCTCTCTTGCTTCCTGAAGTCTAGCCCCATTAACCAGGATGGAACTGGGGGCAAAGGAGGGACCATTAGCGCAGGGACCCATTCTCTAAGGCCACTAAGTTCTAGGACTGGGATGAGAGAGGGGGCTGATTGTCAGGGTCAAGTGCAAACTCAAGATTAGAAAGACAGGATTGGGACAGGGATCACATGGTAATCTCAATCTTATAGGCAGGCTGGGGTCAGGCCTGGGCAGTAGAGCTTTCTGCCCAGCCTGTAAGCACCAATGGGTCCAGCTTCTTGTCTGGCAACCCAGGTGCACAGGACAAAACAGGAGGGAAGCGAAAAATCAATGGGGCTGTTTTTTTTTTCCTGAAATGAGGCAATAGGTCACTGACCCCATCTTTCTCTGGTCATGGAGCATGAGAAGCAGAGAGGCTGCCCCAAACAGGGATCATTTAGGCTAAAATCTCAGTAAGGTCAAGGGGGAACCCTCCACACTATTCCCATGAAGTGTCAGGGCCTGAAGTCTAGACTGAGGTGCTGATGCACATGCCGTGCAGGTCTGCTGAGCTCACCATGAGCAAGTTCTCACCGTGACTGGCCTGACGACCCTCAGACACAAGAGCTGAGGGCCAGCAGCTCCTTTATTACATGGGGATTCCCACAGTGATGACACGCATGGCAGTGGGTGGGAGTTAGCCCACAGAGTTCCTCCGCAGGTGGTGACCCAATGAACGGCCCAGTGATTGTACACCCAGCGGCATCTCTTCTCCACACCTTTATTTGGGAGCCTGGGATGATGGCCTCGGCTGCTTCTGCTAGATCTGTTAATGCCAGTGTGAAGTTTCCAACTAAATACTTAATAATAAAATAATTACAAAAAAATAAAATAAAAAAGACACATTGCACTCTCCAGCCAGAATTCTGTGTGTAACACACACACTTGCTGCCAGAAGCTGTGAGTCCTGTGGGGCCTGCCCAATGCCAAGGACTGTACAATGGAGACAGCGGGCCCGGTATTCTTCTCTAACCCCATTTTTTTTTAGTTCAAGTGGGAAATTATCAACACACACACACACACACACACTCAACAACACATGGCCCTCAAAAAAGTGAGGGAATCTTAATTCTTTAGCTATGTGGATGATTCTCTTTCCAGAGAGCTCTGCATCAAGATTCTCAGAGATTGGACATAGATGTACACACTCCAAGGAGAGACCCACACATGGGGGCACAGTCCCACGTGGCACGCAGATCCATTTGTACAGAAATGCACCACACAGAGGGCTTGGAGCAGCAAGTGTACAGTACTGGAGGTGGAGGGGACAAGCCAGCAAGGATGTCCCTGTAGCCGAGGAGCAGAGCTCCAAGGGCTTGGACCCAGAGACTTCCCGTCCTGACGCTTTCTCTACCTATGCCAAGTTTGGAGGAGACCGTTTTGGTACCTGTTGTGGGTGGGCAGTTTTGTCCACAGAGACCTGAGTAGGCCCCTCAGATGCTTCTCCAAGACCCTCTGGGGACTGACTGTGGGGTGTTGAGCAGAGGCAGGGCTCACTCCTCGGCTGAAGTCACTGAGATGAATGGGTGGCCCAGGTTAGCACCGGGCGCAGCTGCAGGCTTGTGGAAAATGGTGTCTCGCTGGGGTATGCAGGGCTGAAGGCACCTGCATCCCCAAAAAACGATTTGGTTACATCTAGGGTTCCTGCCCATAAACTGAACTGAGGTTATATAGTTTTAGAAAGACTCAAACATACATCAAAAGGATCATGGCCCAAACATCAGGAGACTGGGGTGAGAGAGGGCTGCTGAGTGATTTTTAGGACAGGTCTTTCTGAGCAGCTGGCTGAAAACAACGGAAATGAAAACAAGGAACAGTTTCTGGATGTCCTTGCTCTGCTCTGAGGGTGGGGCCCTAGGAGGTCAAGAGCCCCATGCTACTTCCCTGAATCCCCTTCTTCTGGGTGGATGATACCCAATGGAAAAAGGGGCTGCCCTCTGGAGGGGTCCCCTGCCATCTTGCCAGGGAAGGGGGACAGGGGAGGAGGGGGAAAACATCCATGAGGCCACCTGTCTGCTCCACAGCTCCGGATTCTTCCAGCAGCCCCGCCTCCCTCTACCAACAGACTGGGCCACTGGGTCTCCCACCACTGTCCCAATAAGCCCTGGCATCCCTCTTGATAATATTGCACGTTTCCTGCCTCTCAGATTGTTTTCATTTTCGATTGAGAATGCAAAGTATTTGGAGGGAATAGGGGAAGTGAGTAACCTTAAAGAAATAATATATTAGTTAAATACAAAAACAGGAAAAGTAGGGGTTACCTTATCTTTTTTCCCCTTAAAAACAAAACAAACTACCAAACCAAGGTCTAAACTTAAATAGTTCTACGCCTATTCTGCAAATACTAGTAATATGAAAATAATGCTTGACCGAAATTCCCTTGTCTTTTTTCCCTTAGATGATAAGAGTAGTAACATGCCTTGCTGAGGAAAGCGATGGATAAATGCCAGTAAAATATGCTGCTCTAACATCTGAAAGTGATTAAAATGATTCTATATAATGCCTTCGTCAAGATGGAGAATGGAGGAACAAAGAAAAGATGTTGGGGCCAGGCTGGGGTGGATGGGGCCAAGGGCTGGCAAGGCAGGGCCCAGCCACAGCTAGGAGCAGATGGCACACTTGCTGCTCAAGGATACTCCTTCCAGCTCCCTCTTGCTGCCCCCATGGTCCCCTGGCTTAGCGGAAACAGCATGGCGGGGCCAGGAAGTCCAGCCAGGCCTGCTGTTATAAAGTGGGAGAGAGAGAGAGAGAGATGAAGACATTTTTTTCCCCTTGTAATAAAAGAAAAAGTCTTTCAACTGAAAGAAAAAGCACCAATATGCATCTTCGGGCATTATATAAACCTCAATAATGACCTCAGAAGGGCTCATTATGATTAAAGTTGCAGTATACAGCCATACAATGTCATTTCACATTTTCAATCGCAACTAATGGAAAACTAAGTTTGGACACTGCTGAGATTTCATTTTTCTTTTTCTTTTAGTCCGATCTGGTTTTCCTCCAGATGGGTCAGAGCCACAGGCCCCTCCCTCCTCCACCTGCTGCCAGCAGTACCCTCCAACATCACAAAGCAGCTCAGTAGCTCTAGGGAAAGGCCCTCTTGCCCTGGGTAGGGCTAGGAGTCCAGGGGAACAAGGCCTGGCATCCCCTGGCCATGTCTGAGAGGGACTGGCATGCACCCTTTTTGCTTCAAGTATTAATATTCTCTTTCGGTTTGCAGGGTTTGTGCTGTGAATTAGGGGGTGATGGTGAGGGGCGAGGGGCGAAGATGGGGCATGGCAATCCCTGTTCACTGCCCAAATCTACACACTGTCACCAGGTGGCAGCATTCCCCACTTTTTCTGGATGCCTGAGCAACTCCCAGCCATCCTCACGGCTGGATGTCACAATGTAAACATGATGACCACACAATAAACTATAATGGGGGTTGGTAGGAGTGCAAGGATTGATGCAGTGGGGAGGTCTGCCGTTAAACTTAGCTATGTGATTTTGGGAGTCATTTCCTATCCCTGGGCTGCAATAACAGGATGGGATGGAGTGACCTTTGAGGTCACTTTTAATGACCATCAGAGCACTGGGGATCAAGGAGAGAAGGTCCTTGGGGGGCTGGGGGAATGTGGGCCCTGGTGGTGGTAGAGAGCCCCACAGGGCAGTGCAGACTGTGAGGAAGGGCAGGGAAAGGCAGGCTCTGGGGAGCACTGTGGTCCAGTCCAACTGAGATGCTCTGTGGTTGGCAGATGCGTCCTGCACTCCTTCCTGGCCTGGCTGTCATGTTATTGATTGAACTGGCTCAGTGCAGACATTGGAGGAGTGCGGCCGCTGGGGCCCTCCCCCTGGAAGATAGCTACGTGGAAGATCCTTTAACCCGACAGTCACTCTACTTTTAAATTTTATTTTAAATAATCATAAATTACTTTTTTTTTCTTTTAATAAATATGTGCTGCTTAAAAATGAGAAAAGTATATACTGCATCTTTAAGTAATGCACTTTGCTCTCTGGGTTTCTTTCCATTCCACCTTATTAAAGTGCATTAATGAAAAAATAATGAACCACTTCTTTATCATTATTGTTCAAATAAGTCCAAATAATATTAATATGAAGACACTAAACCACTACCATTAGTACTGCAATCTAGCAGATTAACTCAACATCCTGCTCTATTTAATACTGTCCAGCAGAAGAAAATAACTAATTTCAATTTTTAAACAAACTCACAAACGAAACAAAAGGAAACAAAATCTCACCACGGCCCTTTAACAAAGAACATGAGCAGTTTCTATAGCTGCCAGGCTTCAGTGTATGGGAGGGAGGAGGACTGGGGAGACCCCCAAGTGAGGCCTTGGGGGGGAATGGGGTATTGAAGGCACAAGACGCTAGGTCCCATGCTCATCTTCAGGCAATATATCCTTCCTGGGTGGGAAGCAGGGTGGAGCGAGGGCCTTTCCTCCTCTGTAGAAAATGCCAACCCTTGTCCAGGACTCTGGCAGCTGAACCGATGGCTGTGAAGCCTGACCTGTCCAACATCAAAGGCACGTGTGGAAATCCACTCCCAGCAAAAGGTGAGTCCTTGGGAAGCCACTTGGGCTTCTGGAAGGTCCCCTCTGAAATGTCAATGACTGAAAGACCCAAGGTTGACAGGGACTTTATTCTCTCGCTTTTCTCTTCACGGGGCACTGCCCCTTGGAAAGACCAGGTGAGCTCCTGGCCTGGGGTCCTCCACCTTCTTGGGTACCTGTGGCATCACTTGAAGGCTGGGGAGCAGCTGGTGGTGGTTGCTCCAGTCTGGCCTGGGGCCGAGCTAGGGTCCCCTCAAGATTTCAGTCCTGCCCAGGCAGGAGACCGTACACAGAACGGTGGTTACCCAGCAGCCCAAGAGCTGCCTTTGCTAGCAGTATCTCTGCTTCATGGTCTGTGAGTTGGGGCTTCCCAGCCCCCAATCCCTCCGGCAAGCACCGTGTTCCGATACTGTCCACACAGTGGAAACCAAACGAAATGACTCTGGCTTGTGGAGGGGAAGCATGTGAAACACAAACCACAACCAACCTCCCCACAAGAGTACAACAGAAAAGCCCATCCACCACCCATCCCGTCCCCCATGAGGCTGACCATCCTTAGGCCCCCAAACAACCCCTAAAATAAGACCAAAAACCAAGGCCCAACAAAGAATCCCCAAATCAATAAACCTCTCCCAAAACATGCAAAAGAATTGCCCACCCAGAAATATCCCAAATAAAGTCTGTGTAGACTGTGAAAAGACCCATGGCTTTGCCCATCCTCTCTGTAAATTGGGCTGGTGGCTCTCCATGGGCACCCTGGGTTCTCTTCTCAAGGTCAATGACAGCTAAGAAAGGTGGTCCTTGCTGGCACCTGGAGAACTGCTTTTTTAACTAACAGACACTGACAGTGGCCTGGCCAAGGGACAGGCTGAGCTCATAGAAGATGCTTCCAAGCCCTAAAGTCAGAGTATCTTCTGCCACACTACCTGTGGTGGGTGGTGACAATCCCCAGGAAACCAACACAATTCACAATTACAGGTGAGGACGATACAAGGGCCACCTCTGGTGACAAGATGCCAGCAACTGGAACTGGGCTAGGCTGGGGCAGGGCACAGGAGGCCCCTATGACCACATCTTTTCCAGATTTGCAGCCAAGGCACAACTGGGGTTTCCCACATGGCCTGTTCCAAATGGTGCCGAGTCCATCAGTTGAAGTCACCAAGGTGCACACAAGGGGCTCAGCTCTCTCACCTCTGGTCCCAGGCCTCCCACCAGACCCTACCTTCCAGCCTGGAGGGGAGTATCCTCAAGGTCACACATTCTGCAGGGTTTAGTGCTGCCCTCCCCCCACC